ACTAAACAATATAACCAACAATTTTAAAACGATTCAATTCATAATGCAAGAAACATATTCAATTCGACATTATCCATCAGAACAACGGACTATTCGTGTTAATCGAATCAATTAAGTATAGTAAAACACTTTTTTTAAAATGTGTATATACATATATAATAGATTTATGAGGGATCATTTTCTAAAAATTTCCAAGGCAAGACAAAATAGAAACAAAGAAAATTGGTAGCTAGTAGACTGGGCGGTTCACTCCTACTGATTTGGGCAAAGAGCCGCAGCCAGCAGGTGTTGAAGTATTATGTCTCTATAAGGAGGTAGAAAAGAGAGAAGTGAGGGTGAGGTGATTCCATATGAGTTTCATCCATACTCTTGATCGAAATATTTTATAGCGACTCTTGAAACTGGTGACAGGCGTAGAATTATTACTACTACTTGTAAGTTAGCAGGCTAGGTGGATATAAACAAATAGAAATAGATTCAACTTTAGTAGGTCAATTGGTTCCGTCAACAAGTAAGAGGGATGTTAGATATTCGAGATCTTCTTCTGAAGACATTCTATTCATGTCTTTCGGAATTCTCGGAAAATGTTAGGTGTTCGAGCATCTTCCTCCTGGGATGCTCCTCCGAGATCCTACTTATTGAGAGGTTCTTTCTCTGAGAACTCGATTACATGCGGAGGACATTTAACAAATGTACAACAATAATGCAATTCCAGCTAGCTTAAAGCAATCTTCATTCAGCTTAAGCTACTAAATGCACACAAAAAATAAAAAAATAGTCCATGATTAGCACCTAAAAAGATGAAACAAAAAGGAAAACAAACCTTCAATAGCTTCACGAGGAGTCTTGAAGCCCAAACCAATGCTCTTCCAAAAGCGATTCCCTCCCTTTCCCGGTCTCTTCCCTTTCCCAGATTTCTTAGAGCTGAAAACAGTATAAACTCAACGAAAATAAACCCAAATCGAGAATCGAGCTATAGCTCAAATATTTCCATGGAATTGAGCAGTAAGATTTGCCTTAAAAACACTTTGGGTTGCTTCAAAAACGCCTTCTCGGTCTGTAAACAAATGGAAAATCAGAGAATAACAAGTACATCAAAGAAAAGAGTGAGAGTGGATATCAGATTAGACCTGTTCCGCCATTGTTGATCAAGTTTGGAATAGCGTAGCACAAAGGGAAGTCAAAAAAAATATGAGAGCTGTGATTTGAGAAACCCTAAACCCTAAAGTAAACCTCCGACTTTCAATGTTTTCATAGGTGAGTTTGGGTCAACTATTCCATTTGGACCTTCAAATGTATTGTATCAAAGATATTTTCAACATGGCCTCAAAAGAAGAAGAAAATTTGGTTTTTTTTTAATTAATCACTAGTATCCGATATACTAATCGATTAATCTAGATCGGATACTGTAGAAACGAGGGCGACCCTCCCAACACAGTTTGCTCCATTCGCAAACGTCAGTCGGTATTTTTTTTAATTAGCTCAAAATAATTATAAAGTAATATATATTCAAAATATATATTAATAAGTTAAAAATAGACATATATATCTTATAAATATAATTACTCGGATATGATATTTCTAAGAAATATATATTATTTTATTTTTATAATCGAAATCATTTGAAGAGTACAACTCAATATACTTTAATTTTACTTTAATACACTGAGAATAATTATTAGGTAAGCTACCCACTAGTTACTATATTATTATCATTTTCTATTTTTTATCATAAAATTATAATTAATGCTAAATTTTTTTATGACAAATATCACATATTAATATTCATTATTAATTTTATTAGTTAAAATTTATAAATAATCATTAAATTATATCAGGATGATATTTCTATATAAAATATTATACACTTCTCTTTGAATAACATGTGTCATGTTTAACAAAAAAGAAATTGCTAGGATTTGAATATTTGAGCATTTAAGGTTTTATATTTTGAATTCATGACTAAATCATATTTTAAGTGTAAAGAAGACGTTTTTATGCAACCTTATAACCCTAAGTAACTCCCTAAAGCTTTAGCACATGATTAGGAACCACAATAAGACATTAAAGATGATTTTTAGGTGTTATCCAAACCTAAATAAGACATTTCTAAATTCGAGTATCGATAATGGGATGAACATTATTGATATTGGATGATTTGGGGGTAAAATCTAGAGATTTCAAACAGAAATGATCGATATTGCCCCTACATTATCGATACTCAGGGTATATAGTATCAATACTAGCCTATTTTTTAGGACATCAAAGCTATTTTTGGTACCGATACTCAAGGGTATTGATACTTAACCTCAGGTATCCATACTATAATTAGAGTATTGATACTACCCACCATGGATGATCATATTCAACCCGGTTGAGGTCTGTTAGAGCTAAGGATGGTCCATAATGATAGAACTTAGTCCGTGGGGGATGTAAATGGCCAAAGGGACCTAGAGACACTCGTAGATATAAGTTACAACTAGAGTAATCATAGTGGACGTTATGTGTCCAAGTATCTTCAGTTGAACACGTAACGTATACCTAAGAATGAATGACCGTTTCAGAGGATGTACTAGTGAGCAATTTGACGAAATAATCAGATAATGAAATAGCGGAGTTGCGTACTACAAGAATGTCAGTGAATGGTGAATGTACTGTTATCCCTCTAATTCAAGAGTGAATTAAGGAAAACATGGTAAGAGGGAATAGAGCATTGCTACCCAGTATTGAACTCGAGTTAGGTATCGGGCTAGCTAGTGTTGCAAGCAATGAACAACAATCTTAGTAATCGTCATGAAGTCACGAAACCCGTAGAGACTTCTTTAGAGATAAAGAATGACTAAAATACCCTTATGTAATGAATGACTAGGGTAAAACAGCTTAATAAACTAACATCAATAACATATTAATAAACACTTGCATAACTTTGTTGCCCTAGTGTAGGAAGAAAACGAGCGAGATAGCAGCTAGGTGAGAGAATGACTTCACTTCAGGGTGTTCAGCTAGGCTAGGGTATAGTCAGACTACCTTAGTTGCCCTAGTGGGGCCTTGTCAGTGGGAGATGCACTTCAAGGGCTATATAGGGCACGAGGCTCGAGCACTCACGATGAGTGGGTATATGTATTAATGAGTATTTTGTGGAACACCGTCGTAGTAGAACTTCTAGTTTCCCCTTCAGAATATTGTACTATAACTCTAGTGAGCATATGTATTCATACAACCTTACTCATGTATTCATATTTATAACCTTGAGTTGTATTATTTTGATTTAAACTATGAGTCACGGAGTTCCTATTTATAAAATGTTTTATAACTATTATTTATGTCTTTTATGATACCATTCAACATGTTTGAAATGGAAATAAACAAATTTTGAAAAGCAGGGGTTGCCTCGGCGGCCCAATGTGACACTTTAGGCCCATTCGAGTTTAGGATGTTACATGAACAATCAAATTCATTGGAGAACTTGGTTGAAATTAAAGTTAATAGATAATAGAGGGATGTTAGAGTACAATCATATTTTTGAAAATTTCAGAACTTTATATAATTCAAGTATTTTTATATCAATAAATATATATAATTTAGGTATTTTATATTTTTTATTAATGATTTAATTTTGCATATTTTAAATTTATATTTGTGTACTCTTAAATTTCTAATATAATTTCTGAAATTTACACCATTGACACAAAATATTACATTTTCCCCTATAAAAATCATTTATTTATTCTTTTTTAATAGTTTGAGGTAATTATAATGTAATATTTATTTGTATTTTTTAATTTATTCACAACATACTTATATCTTATAAATACAATTAATCAACTCATTTATAAAAAAAACATATTTTCATTAACGCTGCTTAATAAGTTAAAAAAATTTATTCTCAAGTCAAATTGAACATGTAACTTTTAATGTTTTTACCATTCAAAACTTTTAGATGTTTTTAATTAAATTGATTAATATTTTTAATTAATTTGAGGTAAATACAAGTAATATATATTCAAAAATAATTTTGATCTATTTGATATCAAACAGTCACTTTTTTTTTATATTAATGATATTCAAATCTAAGACTTCAAAAAATAACAACAATTCATTTACTACATATATCACTTGATTCTCGCAATAAATTAAAATATAAATTATTGTTATTATCATTTCTCTTGCCAATAAGCCTCTGATTGTATGAATCCATCATCTGTGCATCATTTGATGGCAGAAAAGTGCCATGCTTCTTTGACTTGCTTCTTTGACTTGCTTCTTTGAAGTTCATGGAGATGATTCTTGTCGAACCTATCACTGCCCATGGGGAAGTACCCCATGCTACCAACATTGGTGAAAATAGCCTTGGTGAAACTCGAGACAGTGGAGAATCTTCGCAAGAATCGTAATTATGCGCAGGATATAGAAACTTTTCATCCTCAAACAGGAACCCATTTGGTCTTCCTCAAAGATGGTTGAGATTAACTTCTTATTTTTTTGAATAAATATCTTCACATTTCCTACTTTTAATCTCAATCATATATTTTCACCCATCTAACGGTGTAAAACTAAGAGTTTTACATTGTATAAGAGGATTCTGTCCATATGAATCTAATTACACTGTGTAAAACTCTTTTAATTTTACATCTTTATAGGATTATTAGATGAGAGAAATTAAAAGTTGAGAATAACAGTAAAATATGAAAAGTTTTTCACTGAAAAAAAATAAGTTAGTCTCAACTTTGATTTCCCTCGATCTAATGATTCTAAAAGTGTAAAACTAAAAAAGTTTTACATAGTGTAAATGAATCTTCTATATATATATATAGAGAGAGAGAGAGAGAATATTCAGACAATAAGATTGGTTTGAATAAAACTAAAAATAACAATAAAATAAAATATTGTAAAATAGGATCTAAAATTATTAATTACATTTGCACTTAATTTAAAATTCCACATTTAATTTGACAAAATCCCAACATATAAAAAGTAAACGCAAAGAAAACAAAATTGGATTTAAAATCCAAAGATTATTCAAACCTAGAGGCACTTCATCCACTTTTTAATGTCTTCTTCATAGTTTTTCTATAACCCCATACTACAACAGAAAGAAGAAACACTTGACTTACATTCCGGTGAAAGCTTTCTTCCCGCCACCGGAAGATCCAGCAGGAATCACTTTCAAGATGTTAAACCGCACAGTCTTCGACAGCGGCCTGAAATTGCAAATAAATTACAAAATATGGCCAAAATCAGCATTTTGGAACTACGCAGATATGATCGTTCATTGACAAATGGAACGATTTAGAAGTGTTACCTGCATTGTCCGATAATGACATGGTCCCCTTCCTTCACACGGAAGCAGGGAGAAACATGAGCAGGGATGTTCGAATGTCTCTTCTCGTACCTGAAAAAAAAAGGAAGGGAAATTTTAGGCTAAACTATCACTTGTTTAAGAAAAAGGTACATGCAAATCAAGCTTGGATCATACCTTTGGTATTTCTTGATAAAATGAAGGTAGTTCCGTCGAACAATGATTGTCCTCACCATCTTGGCACTGTGGCAAGTACCGGCCAAGATACGCCCCCTGATAGAGACGGTGCCGGTGAAAGGACATTTCTTATCAATGTAAGTTCCTATAGGAAACAAGATACAAAACATGACTAAACAATATAACCAACAATTTTAAAACGATTCAATTCATAATGCAAGAAACATATTCAATTCGACATTATCCATCAGAACAACGGACTATTCGTGTTAATCGAATCAATTAAGTATAGTAAAACACTTTTTTTAAAATGTGTATATACATATATAATAGATTTATGAGGGATCATTTTCTAAAAATTTCCAAGGCAAGACAAAATAGAAACAAAGAAATTGGTAGCTAGTAGACTGGGCGGTTCACTCCTACTGATTTGGGCAAAGAGCCGCAGCCAGCAGGTGTTGAAGTATTATGTCTCTATAAGGAGGTAGAAAAGAGAGAAGTGAGGGTGAGGTGATTCCATATGAGTTTCATCCATACTCTTGATCGAAATATTTTATAGCGACTCTTGAAACTGGTGACAGGCGTAGAATTATTACTACTACTTGTAAGTTAGCAGGCTAGGTGGATATAAACAAATAGAAATAGATTCAACTTTAGTAGGTCAATTGGTTCCGTCAACAAGTAAGAGGGATGTTAGATATTCGAGATCTTCTTCTGAAGACATTCTATTCATGTCTTTCGGAATTCTCGGAAATGTTAGGTGTTCGAGCATCTTCCTCCTGGGATGCTCCTCCGAGATCCTACTTATTGAGAGGTTCTTTCTCTGAGAACTCGATTACATGCGGAGGACATTTAACAAATGTACAACAATAATGCAATTCCAGCTAGCTTAAAGCAATCTTCATTCAGCTTAAGCTACTAAATGCACACAAAAAATAAAAAAATAGTCCATGATTAGCACCTAAAAAGATGAAACAAAAAGGAAAACAAACCTTCAATAGCTTCACGAGGAGTCTTGAAGCCCAAACCAATGCTCTTCCAAAAGCGATTCCCTCCCTTTCCCGGTCTCTTCCCTTTCCCAGATTTCTTAGAGCTGAAAACAGTATAAACTCAACGAAAATAAACCCAAATCGAGAATCGAGCTATAGCTCAAATATTTCCATGGAATTGAGCAGTAAGATTTGCCTTAAAAACACTTTGGGTTGCTTCAAAAACGCCTTCTCGGTCTGTAAACAAATGGAAAATCAGAGAATAACAAGTACATCAAAGAAAAGAGTGAGAGTGGATATCAGATTAGACCTGTTCCGCCATTGTTGATCAAGTTTGGAATAGCGTAGCACAAAGGGAAGTCAAAAAAATATGAGAGCTGTGATTTGAGAAACCCTAAACCCTAAAGTAAACCTCCGACTTTCAATGTTTTCATAGGTGAGTTTGGGTCAACTATTCCATTTGGACCTTCAAATGTATTGTATCAAAGATATTTTCAACATGGCCTCAAAAGAAGAAGAAAATTTGGTTTTTTTTTAATTAATCACTAGTATCCGATATACTAATCGATTAATCTAGATCGGATACTGTAGAAACGAGGGCGACCCTCCCAACACAGTTTGCTCCATTCGCAAACGTCAGTCGGTATTTTTTTTAATTAGCTCAAAATAATTATAAAGTAATATATATTCAAAATATATTAATAAGTTAAAAATAGACATATATATCTTATAAATATAATTACTCGGATATGATATTTCTAAGAAATATATTATTTTATTTTTATAATCGAAATCATTTGAAGAGTACAACTCAATATACTTTAATTTTACTTTAATACACTGAGAATAATTATTAGGTAAGCTACCCACTAGTTACTATATTATTATCATTTTCTATTTTTTATCATAAATTATAATTAATGCTAAATTTTTTATGACAAATATCACATATAATATCATTATTAATTTTATTAGTTAAAATTTATAAATAATCATTAAATTATATCAGGATGATTTCTATATAAAATATTATACACTTCTCTTTGAATAACATGTGTCATGTTTAACAAAAAAGAAATTGCTAGGATTTGAATATTTGAGCATTTAAGGTTTTATATTTTGAATTCATGACTAAATCATATTTTAAGTGTAAAGAAGACGTTTTTATGCAACCTTATAACCCTAAGTAACTCCCTAAAGCTTTAGCACATGATTAGGAACCACAATAAGACATTAAAGATGATTTTTAGGTGTTATCCAAACCTAAATAAGACATTTCTAAATTCGAGTATCGATAATGGGATGAACATTATTGATATTGGATGATTTGGGGGTAAAATCTAGAGATTTCAAACAGAAATGATCGATATTGCCCCTACATTATCGATACTCAGGGTATAGTATCAATACTAGCCTATTTTTTAGGACATCAAAGCTATTTTTGGTACCGATACTCAAGGGTATTGATACTTAACCTCAGGTATCCATACTATAATTAGAGTATTGATACTACCCACCATGGATGATCATATTCAACCCGGTTGAGGTCTGTTAGAGCTAAGGATGGTCCATAATGATAGAACTTAGTCCGTGGGGGATGTAAATGGCCAAAGGGACCTAGAGACACTCGTAGATATAAGTTACAACTAGTAATCATAGTGGACGTTATGGTCCAAGTATCTTCAGTTGAACACGTAACGTATACCTAAGAATGAATGACCGTTTCAGAGGATGTACTAGTGAGCAATTTGACGAAATAATCAGATAATGAAATAGCGGAGTTGCGTACTACAAGAATGTCAGTGAATGGTGAATGTACTGTTATCCCTCTAATTCAAGAGTGAATTAAGGAAACATGGTAAGAGGGAATAGAGCATTGCTACCCAGTATTGAACTCGAGTTAGGTATCGGGCTAGCTAGTGTTGCAAGCAATGAACAACAATCTTAGTAATCGTCATGAAGTCACGAAACCCGTAGAGACTTCTTTAGAGATAAAGAATGACTAAAATACCCTTATGTAATGAATGACTAGGGTAAACAGCTTAATAAACTAACATCAATAACATATTAATAAACACTTGCATAACTTTGTTGCCCTAGTGTAGGAAGAAAACGAGCGAGATAGCAGCTAGGTGAGAGAATGACTTCACTTCAGGGTGTTCAGCTAGGCTAGGGTATAGTCAGACTACCTTAGTTGCCCTAGTGGGGCCTTGTCAGTGGGAGATGCACTTCAAGGGCTATATAGGGCACGAGGCTCGAGCACTCACGATGAGTGGGTATATGTATTAATGAGTATTTTGTGGAACACCGTCGTAGTAGAACTTCTAGTTTCCCCTTCAGAATATTGTACTATAACTCTAGTGAGCATATGTATTCATACAACCTTACTCATGTATTCATATTTATAACCTTGAGTTGTATTATTTTGATTAAACTATGAGTCACGGAGTTCCTATTTATAAAATGTTTTATAACTATTATTTATGTCTTTTATGATACCATTCAACATGTTTGAAATGGAAATAAACAAATTTTGAAAAGCAGGGGTTGCCTCGGCGGCCCAATGTGACACTTTAGGCCCATTCGAGTTTAGGATGTTACATGAACAATCAAATTCATTGGAGAACTTGGTTGAAATTAAAGTTAATAGATAATAGAGGGATGTTAGAGTACAATCATATTTTTGAAAATTTCAGAACTTTATATAATTCAAGTATTTTTATATCAATAAATATATAATTTAGGTATTTTATATTTTTTATTAATGATTTAATTTTGCATATTTTAAATTTATATTTGTGTACTCTTAAATTTCTAATATAATTTCTGAAATTTACACCATTGACACAAAATATTACATTTTCCCCTATAAAAAATCATTATTTATTCTTTTTTAATAGTTGAGGTAATTATAATGTAATATTTATTTGTATTTTTTAATTTATTCACAACATACTTATATCTTATAAATACAATTAATCAACTCATTTATAAAAAAAACATATTTTCATTAACGCTGCTTAATAAGTTAAAAAAATTTATTCTCAAGTCAAATTGAACATGTAACTTTTAATGTTTTTACCATTCAAAACTTTTAGATGTTTTTAATTAAATTGATTAATATTTTTAATTAATTTGAGGTAAATACAAGTAATATATATTCAAAAATAATTTTGATCTATTTGATATCAAACAGTCACTTTTTTTTATATTAATGATATTCAAATCTAAGACTTCAAAAAATAACAACAATTCATTTACTACATATATCACTTGATTCTCGCAATAAATTAAAATATAAATTATTGTTATTATCATTTCTCTTGCCAATAAGCCTCTGATTGTATGAATCCATCATCTGTGCATCATTTGATGGCAGAAAAGTGCCATGCTTCTTTGACTTGCTTCTTTGACTTGCTTCTTTGAAGTTCATGGAGATGATTCTTGTCGAACCTATCACTGCCCATGGGGAAGTACCCCATGCTACCAACATTGGTGAAAATAGCCTTGGTGAAACTCGAGACAGTGGAGAATCTTCGCAAGAATCGTAATTATGCGCAGGATATAGAAACTTTTCATCCTCAAACAGGAACCCATTTGGTCTTCCTCAAGATGATTAACTTCTTATTTTTTTGAATAAATATCTTCACATTTCCTACTTTTAATCTCAATCATATATTTTCACCCATCTAACGGTGTGTAAAACTAAGAGTTTTACATTGTATAAGAGGATTCTGTCCATATGAATCTAATTACACTGTGTAAAACTCTTTTAATTTTACATCTTTATAGGATTATTAGATGAGAGAAATTAAAAGTTGAGAATAACAGTAAATATGAAAAGTTTTCACTGAAAAAAAATAAGTTAGTCTCAACTTTGATTCCCTCGATCTAATGATTCTAAAAGTGTAAAACTAAAAAAGTTTTACATAGTGTAAATGAATCTTCTATATATATATATAGAGAGAGAGAGAGAGAATATTCAGACAATAAGATTGGTTTGAATAAAACTAAAAATAACAATAAAATAAAATATTGTAAAATAGGATCTAAAATTATTAATTACATTTGCACTTAATTTAAATTCCACATTTAATTTGACAAATCCCAACATATAAAAAGTAAACGCAAAGAAAACAAAATTGGATTTAAAATCCAAAGATTCTTCAAACCTAGAGGCACTTCATCCACTTTTTAATGTCTTCTTCATAGTTTTTCTATAACCCCATACTACAACAGAAAGAAGAAACACTTGACTTACATTCCTGTGAAAGCTTTCTTCCCGCCACCGGAAGATCCAGCAGGAATCACTTTCAAGATGTTAAACCGCACAGTCTTCGACAGCGGCCTGAAATTGCAAATAAATTACAAAATATGGCCAAAATCAGCATTTTGGAACTACGCAGATATGATCGTTCATTGACAAATGGAACGATTTAGAAGTGTTACCTGCATTGTCCGATAATGACATGGTCCCCTTCCTTCACACGGAAGCAGGGAGAAACATGAGCAGGGATGTTCGAATGTCTCTTCTCGTACCTGAAAAAAAAAGGAAGGAAAATTTTAGGCTAAACTATCACTTGTTTAAGAAAAGGTACATGCAAATCAAGCTTGGATCATACCTTTGGTATTTCTTGATAAAATGAAGGTAGTTCCGTCGAACAATGATTGTCCTCACCATCTGGCACTGTGGCAAGTACCGGCCAAGATACGCCCCCTGATAGAGACGGTGCCGGTGAAAGGACATTTCTTATCAATGTAAGTTCCTATAGGAAACAAGATACAAAACATGACTAAACAATAACCAACAATTTTAAAACGATTCAATTCATAATGCAAGAAACATATTCAATTCGACATTATCCATCAGAACAACGGACTATTCGTGTTAATCGAATCAATTAAGTATAGTAAACACTTTTTTAAAATGTGTATATACATATATAATAGATTTATGAGGGATCATTTTCTAAAAATTTCCAAGGCAAGACAAATAGAAACAAAGAAAATTGGTAGCTAGTAGACTGGGCGGTTCACTCCTACTGATTTGGGCAAGAGCCGCAGCCAGCAGGTGTTGAAGTATTATGTCTCTATAAGGAGGTAGAAAAGAGAGAAGTGAGGGTGAGGTGATTCCATATGAGTTTCATCCATACTCTTGATCGAAATATTTTATAGCGACTCTTGAAACTGGTGACAGGCGTAGAATTATTACTACTACTTGTAAGTTAGCAGGCTAGGTGGATATAAACAAATAGAAATAGATTCAACTTTAGTAGGTCAATTGGTTCCGTCAACAAGTAAGAGGGATGTTAGATATTCGAGATCTTCTTCTGAAGACATTCTATTCATGTCTTTCGGAATTCTCGGAAAATGTTAGGTGTTCGAGCATCTTCCTCCTGGGATGCTCCTCCGAGAT